CCTTGGAGCCAGCGGAATATGGACTGAACCCTCCAGTAACTGTGAGCTAAATAAACCTTTCCTTCCTTCAGTTTGAGTGTCGGGTATTTGTCCCAGCAACGAGTAAAAAGTAATTAAGACAAGCAGCCTGATTTTTTTTTTTAAATATCTCATTTTATCCCATGAAATGGAGCAGGGAAATCAATTCCTTTTTCCCTAATAGATCAGGCTTGACATTAGGTGAACAATTTGCACTGTGTTACCAACTGGCTGAGGGATTTTTTTTTGCCCAAGTCAGATAGAAATCACAAGCAAGCAAAGTGTGGCTCTTAGGTGCTAGCAGCCCGGAGTTTTGAATCCCAGTGGCGCTAAGTTCTCAGCGTTAGCACCCCTCTGCCATTCCTGTGGCAGCCAGGGCCAGCAGCCATGGCAGCCCAAAGCAGCTCTTCCAGACCTGAAGATGGCGGCCCCTGGCAACTCTCCATCCATCCCTTTCAGTGCCAGCAGCCTTTAGTGTTGCCAGCTCCTTGCATACTGGCTCAGCCTGCTCTAATAAAGACAGAAATCATGAATAAAAAAATCTGCTACCCCGAAGAGGCTTGAGGACTTATACACACAGCATAGGCTGAGCAGCTGTGGACAGGAAGGTTGCTTATGTGGAAACGGTAAGTGGGCTCATACGCAGTGTGCTGGCAGCCAACTGCAGACTTTCTTAGTTGTGGGTACAGGTGGGCCCCTCTAGACCAGACTGAAGACAGCCACCAAAGGTGGGCCCTTCCAGACAGCGTGGAGTCAGCTGTGAAGGAAGCTTGCCAAAGCCAAAGTCTTCCAGAGAAGCCATGGGACATCTGAAGTAGCCATGGCTGGTGCTGTGAGGTGCTGGGGGAGCTGAGAGAGAAAAACACAGAAAGTACCTCTTGAACATTGAGCTCTTCTCTCCTGTCTCATGAGAAAGATTTATGTGAGTGTTCATGGTGAGAGCAGAAGGCTAAAGGCCGCAGCTTGCCAGAACCTTTCTTGCTGCCCTGGCCAGCTGGTTGCTATCTTGGTGCAATCTTGGGCGGTGGGGTTCACTTTCCTCCTACCTTAGGTGAGATTGTTTGAAATGGAATAGGCTAGTTTACTGCTGGTTTGTAGCTAGTGGAAAGGAGTGCTTCAACCCCTGCCCTTCATGTCTTCTTTTTTCCCTCTCCTGCTGTTACCCCTATATTCCTTGATGTCATTCCTGCCATTGTGAGCTGACAGGCCCTCCCAGCCCAGGGGGACACCCTGTAAGTAAGGAGGGCAGGTGGAGCTGTGGAGGAGGAGGGACAAGCAGTCGCACCAACACCTTGGCGTTGGGCTGGGTCTACGTGGAGCCCCAGCGATGCTCCCCAGCCCATTCTTCCCAAGAACCGATGAGTAAAATTAGGGGCCTCTCTCCTGAGGTCAGGGAACCATGCTTTGGAGTGGAACTGGGGGTGGAAAATGGCCTTCTTTGTCAACTGATTCATTCTCCAGAATTCAACTTGTTCCCCAACTCAGTGGTGTTTGAAAGCAACTTTATCCAGGTATCCCATGCATTTTAGAACCAACTGTCTTCCCCTTCCCAAAAACTGTTCCCAGTTTTGGTCAAAAATGCTGTGAACTTTGAAAGCCCTGGGGCAAAGAAAGAAGCCACCAAATCCCAGAGAAAATCAGAGGGTCTGAGTCCCAAGTTCACTTTCCTTTATGCCTCCAGCATGCAGGAGCTCTCTGCAAGTCCTGTGCTTTAAGAAAACACATTCAGACCTTATAGGGAAAGGATCAGAGCTCTGTCTCGAGGCAAATCCTCAGGGTTTCACCCCCATGGTTGGTTTTGGAGAATGAAGGCTGGAGTTGGAAACCCTGCTCTGAGATCCAACCTGCTCTCTCTGGCATGACTGGGAAACAGCTGTGTTTGCAAGCAGAGGCTGGGGCAGTGATGGTGAGCCTTTTAGAGACAAATGCCCGTATGGCAACCCAAAACCCACTCATTTATTCCCAAGTGCCAACACTGCATTTAAACCAAACACTGTGGTTTTAATTTAGGAAAAACAACTCATACACTTGGCTCTTGCATTGACAGAGAGGGTTGTGTCTGCTGTGGCAACATGCCACAGGTTTAGCTATTACTGCCCTTGGTGAATTAGCCCTGCCTCCAAACTACCATCTTTTCAAAGAGTAGTAATATGACCAATGGAATCAAGCATTTGTGGCTGAGGAAAACACAGAGGATGGGGTGGTTGTCCGAATATGCGTCAGATCTTACCCAGGCGCTGCTTGCCTCCTGCACAGCCCCTGGCCTGAGCTAGGCTGCCTTGCACTGTGGCATAACCTGTAAGCCAGCGAGCAAGCACATACTAAACCCCTCTGTGTGCAGCCCAGGTGATGCAGAGACCAGCACAGAGTCTTGGGCAAGGAGCTTGTGGCTTGGCTTACTGGTTACTATGAAATAATAACTGTTCACGCTCTATGTCAGCGAGTTTGGACCAGCTGATCCCCGTGACAGAACAGGAAGCAGGTTTTGGGCGCAGCTAGGGCATTTCCTCTGCACCTCAGCAGTTGCAGCAGCCTCCCAGAAAGCCATTCTTTGACCTATTGCTGAGACTTTGGTAGAAGGAGTAGGGTGTTCCAGACAGAGAGCACTCAAAGACCCAGGGAGACTGGAATACCCAGAGGATCTGTAGGATGAAAGCCCACCTAGATGGAGCAGAAAAGTGGCAGAATTGGCGGAGAGAAGGTGGGACTGCTCTGGGCTTCATTTAGAGGCTCTTCACAGAGTATGGAGCTACACCCTACTGTGGTTCCCGGCTTGCAGGAGCTTGTTCCTGGCCCCTCACAGCCCCAGGGGGATGAATAGTTGGAGAATCTGCAGGCAAGCTTGGAGCGAGCTCCGCTACCACTGCAGAGAAGGAGCAGTCACAAGATCCAGCCTCAGGCTCCAATTTCTTTCTTTCTTTCTCTTTTTCTTTTTTTTTGAGATAAGATCTCACTATGTAGTTTAGGCTGGTCCTGAGCTCACTATGTGGCCCAGGTTGGCCTTAAACTAAAAGCAGCCATCCTGCTTCAGCCACCTGAGTGCTGGGCTTATAGGCATATGCCACCGCAGCAGGGCTCAGGCTCTAATTCCTAGTCTTTTCTCTTTGGCTATGATGTTTTGCCATGAGATGTGTTCTCGTATATTCTCTTTGGCCTAATATTAAAATTGCTTAAATAGGGGCTGGGGATTTGGCCTGGGGTAGAACGCTTGCCTAGCAAGCTAGAATCCCTGGGTTCGGTTCTCAGCACCAAAACCAAAAAAAAAAAAAAAAAAGCCACCTCCCCTAAAAAACAGTTCCACACCCCCCCCCCAAAAAAAAAACCAAAACAGTAAAATCAATGAAAATTGCTCAATTCTCTGAGTGGACACTAAAGAAGCTAGGCAGCAGGAAACTCAGAATGTGCTGGGGAGAGGTCACTCAAAATGTTTTGACCTGTGGAGTTACAGTTTTGGCATCTTTCCACTGTTTCCTCTCTCCCCTCACCTCTACATCAGTATCTCCTCAACCACAGCCTCCCGAAAGCAGCATCAGCCCCAAGCACTCCTGCAGCACTTACTCTCCATGTGTGAAGTCCTCTCTCTTCCGGGAAGGGTATGAATTTCATTCCACAACCTTGACTCCCGGAAATGTCACTCTTCCCTAATATCAAACTTCATTTCTCTTGGAGTGCCATCCAGTCAGGCTGGCATGAATTAAATTTCAGTTGTTCTTAGAGCTTTTCCCTGGTCTCCCATTCCACCAGGGGCTGCACCCTGGATCTGAAAGCTTTACAAAGTCTAATGTTTGGAGAAGGCCACTGGTCTTGGGACCACAGGGTCTTTCCTCAGCCATTTCTCCCTTCCCGCCGGGCTCCTGTGGTTCCCCAGTGAGTGCAGCCTGGGGACTTCCTGCCAGTGAGCTGAGACTCTCTCCCAGGCAGGCATCCAGTCTTGCTGTCCTGATATGGCTCTGGGTGCTTCAGGACTGTCTCTCCCACAATCCAAGGGAAGCTCGCAAACTGCCCTCAACTTGAGCCATCTGGGTCATCCCTGTTCAACAGTTTCTCCTCCTCTTCTGGAGATTTCTTTCCACTATTCTCCTTCTAGCCCTTTAGAAACAGATGGTAGATTTGTGTACCAGGGGAGGAGTGTGTAAAATTTTTCATGTCACTCAGCTTTTACTTACTAGTGCATCTTTGCACAGCTGGACAATGCAGAGGACATAAAGAAGTTTCTCTTGGCAATGAGCTTAAAGTCTATTTGGGGAGACTAACAAAAAGGCCAGTAGAAAATCATGGCCCAGCTTGGCAGGCCACAGACTTGTCACCCAGCTGAAGTGTCCTTTTCAAGCATCTGTGTCCTTCCACCCTTGTGACTCACATACTGGGGGCTAATTTGCAGGTCACTAAGGCTGGAAAATGGATGAATGTCTGTGCAGACTCTACCACAGTGATCCTTGGGGTGACCTCCTCTGTGCCCTCCTTGCCACTCCCCAATGTCCTCCTGATGGCCAATGTCACCTGGCCACAGGGTCAGCACTCCACCTGGAACACACCTGGGGTCACCCCCATCATCACTCTCAGCAGGTAAGGAAAGGCTGGAGGGGGATGGGGTGGCGAATGGCTTATGCATCGTTCTGCAGCTCATTTTGGATCAGAAGGAAGGACAGTGGGCTTTTCATTTTGGTTTGTTCTGGGTTTTTTTTCCCCACCAGGAATATTAGCTAATTTGTAACCCAAATGAAGGAGAAAATTGAGATTTAGTAAAACATTTCATTTGTGAAATAAATCATGACAGTAACTAAATTAATGATTATATTAA